TTTGTCTTAAATAAGGTGTCGCCTCGTTCATCTGGTGAAAACTGTTCTCAGAAAGGTCTGTGGATGTTTAGGATATTTTTTTCTGATTTTCAAAATTGAATTCATTAATAGGCAAAGGAGTGAAGTCAGATATTTAAGTCATGAATATTTTTAAATACATGGCTGGACAGATACTGAGCCACTGAAAGCATCAAGTATTTAGTTTTTTATCTTGTATAAAAAGCAACATGTGTTTTCAGTAACTTGTATGAACTGACCCTTTAAAAACCACCTGAAACAAACAAGTGCTTCATGTTTGAATCCGTGAGAGAATAAGATCCTGATCAAATAAACAAAGTGGTTTAATTCCTTCATGATGATTTAAAACTGTGTCGTCCACAACGTTAGTGGAAATGGTTCATCGGTGTAAGGGACACAAAACATACAATTCAGTGATTAAGTGGATTTGTGGTATTCGATGAATCAAATCAAATTTCATCAACACAAACGACCACTAAGATTTAACAAGGATGGAAAATTAAAAGATAAACAGACACTGGTCTCTGTGCCAGCTCCTAGGAAAACTCTATTACTATTATATATATAATTCAATTTTCTATTTATACAACGTCCATTGGACTTTTGCATGTTGCACTATTATATTTAATGGTCAAACGTTGCTTCAAGTTAGCATTCAACAACAAAAATCTCTGAGATGCTTCAAACCATTTCACTCCAAGACTTAAACTCCTGAAGGTGTTCAAAAAAAAAAAAAAGGCTTCACAAAATGGTTTTCCCTTTTTGAAACGACACAGAGAAACGCACTGCTCTTAAAAGTTTACCACAGTGCAGTAAAGTGAGTGCAAATGGAGCTCTCGGAGGTGTGAAATAAAGCTATTTGAGAATGCGCAACTGAAATGTAACAAGCTGCAGTTTAGGCAACAGAATCAACAAGCAGCTCTCCAGAATTAGAGCTGTCGACACGGGGGAGAGCATGACACTGAATAGATTAATCAGGAGGAGGAGGAGGACGCCGTCACGCAATCATTCACACAACACTGTTGTCATTGCACCAGACATATGTTTAGAACCGACGAGCTTTATTTATTATTTACTCCTCTGCATCCTCTCTTTGTTGCTGTTTAACTTTCCGTTGCTCAAATAGCCAAAGTGAGTAAATGAGCTAAAAACTTTCTTCTCCTCCTCTCCGTCATCAGTTCCCATCCCCTCCAAGCTGAACGGCTCGTCCCTCTCTGCCCTCTCCCTCGGTAAGGAGGGCCTCGGGGTTGGGTTGGTGTCCAACCCGGCCGAGGTCTTCTGCTCGGTGCCGGGTCGCCTGTCGCTGCTCAGCTCCACCTCCAAATACAAGGTGACGGTCGGGGAGGTGCAGCGGCGCCTCTCCCCACCCGAGTGCCTCAACGCCTCTCTGCTGGGTGGAGTCCTCCGCAGGTGAGACAGAGAACCAGAGGGTGTGATGCAGTGTTAGAGAGGTTTTTTTGGAACTAACTAAATCAAGATTCTACACTCAAAGACAAATTTACACCTTAAATAAATGATCCCCACACTTTTTTTTACTTTAACTGATATCTTGAAAGACTTGAGGGCAAAGCGAGGTTTTTGAAAGGAGTAAATAAAAGAAGGGAAACTTATAAACTGGTGTCTGAAAATACAAGGCACAGCTCCGTTAAGTGCAGATCACACCCTTTTACTGGATTTATAATTAATCTTTTCAGAATAAGAGCCCCTGAACCTAACTACGGGGCCATGAGGGCTGAGGACCTAATGTGCATCATGGGACTAAATCACAGGAGAAGCAGTGTGGTGTAATTAAGCTTCAGGGCAAGAACACAACTTTACGATTTTAGTTTCAGGCTTAATCAGTTTAAGAAAAACGTAAGTAAAACATATTTAGGGAAATCTTATAAACAAGGCCACTCCTGGATTACAGCCCTGTGAGGATGCACATATTTCTGTTTTATACAACTATATATTAAATTGCAGTTGACAGCTATAAAAAGTAACTGCTTACTTTGAAAATAAAGAATTATCATATAAAATACACGATTGGTTTGTTAATATGATGCGTTGTTGTCGATAAATCACTCATCTGTATATAAATAGATTAAATTAGCTCCTGCTACCAAAGCGAAATATTCTTACATTACATTAATATATTAGTATTAAACCTCTTGATGATATTTAGCTGATAATGCTACTGTTCTGCTGCTGAGTAACATTTCAGGCATTTTGCTGTCGTATGTTCACACTGTTAATAGTTCCAGTATTATATTTCAGTATTGCTGCAATTTAAATGTGTAAGAAGAAAAAACAAACCAACTAAAAGAGATGAAAACAAAAAAACACAAGATACTATCAGTTCTGACAGGGAACATAGGGAGGGTTTATCTTCACACACACACACACACACACACACACACACACACACTCATACTCATGCATGTGCACATTCCTCACCGTAGACATAATCCAGAGAAAAACAGGCACATACACACACACGCACACCACAAAACCCATAAAGCGATACAGACACAGAGCAGAAAACACACACACACACACACACACACACACAGACCATCTCCTAAAAACTGCTCTCTCTGTCTCCCTGCCCCCCCTCAGGGCAAAGTCAAAGAATGGTGGCCGCTGTCTGAGAGAGCGTCTGGAGAAGATTGGCCTCAACCTGCCCGCCGGGCGACGCAAGGCGGCCAACGTCACTCTCCTAACATCTCTAGTGGAGGGTAGGGACACACACACACACACACACACACACACACACATGCATACAGTGACCTGCATATATCCTGACAGATAGAGACACATATTCACATAGAAATCTCCTCGCATGAGCAAACATGAATAAACAGTCATAGCGGTGATGGCAGCGTGGCTGCGTGCATGTGCAAACACAAGCGCAGGGTGTCGTTTGAAAAGCTGAGGCTGCCTCACAAAGCCAAAGAGCAGTGAACTGTTTGAGTAGTGAAAGTGAGAAAAATGGCTGCCGAGCTTGCCTCTTGACCTGACCTGACCCGGGGAAGCTGCACCAGACGATTACGTATCATTTAAGAGAATTTGTAATTATTTGATTTCAAAGCCAAACAGAGCAATTGGCCCCTTGACTCTTAAAAACACTGAAGCAGTCGCTGCATTTTCTGTCTGACTAAATCAGAACACAGTTGCTTTATTGTTCTAGTTGGACTTGGTGTTCCTGCTTCAGTCTCACTCTCTCTCCTCCTCCTCCTCCTCCTCCTCCTCCTCCTCCTCCTCGTTCTCCAGGTGAGGCCGTCCATCTGGCGCGGGACTTTGGTTACGTGTGTGAGACAGAGTTTCCAGCCAGAGCCACAGCTGAGTATCTGTGCAGGCAGAGTGAGCCGGAGCAGCTCCCAACACGGCGCAGCATGCTCCTCGCCACCAAGTGAGTTTGTCATCCCCCCCCACCCCCCCGCACATCCACAGCTGCAGCTGTTCTGTTTTCAACTCTCTTTAGTCTATTGATTATTCTCTCTCCAATAATCAATTGATTGTTTAGTCCATAAATCCTCAGGAAAACGTAAAAGAATTTCAACCATGTAGCCTCAGGTGACATCATCAGATTTGTCTGACCAGCAACGTCTCAGGAGTTTTACATTCGAGAATACGAGAATGCCGCATCGCTCAGATTTCTAAAAAGTCGTTTTTGGGAGTAAATTCCCAAAAAGTAACTACAATCACAGTCAATCCTTCAAGAACCAGGGGCGTGGCTACACGGTTGGCGAAGCTTGAAGTTGCCTGGGGCCCCGAGCTAAGAAGGGGCCCCCCCAAGAACAGCTAATGATGTTTGCACACAGAAACCTTCAATTCTGTTATCGACAGGAGTCCTGCGACAAAACCATGGTCACAAACACCCTAACAACCCCCACATGGCACTAACCTTCTGCCAAATGTTTGTAATTTCAGAGGTTTGTCGGGCCCCCGGGTCCCTTTTGCCTGGGGGCCCCTCAAAATAAACCTCACCATCACCAAAACGATCACGAACAAACAGTTTTTATTCTTTTCTTCTCAGGGAGGTCTGTAAGGAGTTTGTGGACCTCATGTCCCAGGACCGATCCCCGCTGGGCGGCAGCCGACCCAACCCGTGTCTGGAGCCCGGCGTCCAGGGAAGCCTCACCCACTTCAGCCTGCTCACCCACGGCTTCGGAGCCCCCGCCATCTGCGCCGCGCTGTCCGCCTTCCAGAGCTACCTGATGGAGGCGATCAAAATGCTGGACAAAGGAGAGGGCGGAGGGAAGAGCCACCACGACAAGGAGATGAAGCACCGCAAATAGAGGAGGGGAGGGGGGGGGGGGGGAACCGATGTGCGGTTAGAGGGATGGATGGAAGGATGGAGAGGCAGAAAGGAAGAGAAAAGAGGGAGGGGAAGACTGATTCGTGCCCCTCTACGT